GACCCCTCTGAGGTCACCATAGCTAAAACAGCACTACTGACCCACTAACCTGGCTAACCACGCAGTCTCTGTCGCCACCTCTATCAGCCGATGGTGGAGCGTGGCAAGCTCCAGGAGCATGGAGAAGGAATCCAGGAGAAAGAACTGTTTTTCTCTGCCTGTCTTCTTTTCTTCCTCTGCTCCCACCTCTAAGGGTGACAGAGCAATCTCTCGCACCAGCACAGAGTCTTCTATCAGTACGTTGGCAAACAACTGCAAGGAAAGGGAAAAAAAGGAAACACAGAAATCATTCACATACAGATGACAAAGTCTTTAAATACTTTAGGGGACCATTCTCCTTTTTCTTTTTCTGGAATAAATCATGACTGGAGTTGCTTCTGACTTGCAACCCATGCAAGGTCAGAATTGTGTCCACCCTGACCCCTAAAAATACATTGGCATTTTGCCACTTGCTTCAAAGGTGAAGCAACACTGAATCTATAAACCTGGCTTTACTTGGAGGACTTAACAAGGTTTATTTTAATTTCTTTTTTATATCTAACACAAGATATTTGCCTTTTTTATTATAATCAAAATTCAGAAGGCTTTCAGATGTATACACCTCTCTAAAGCAGGGGCTCTGCAACTTGGTTCACTTATTACTAGCTGGCACCATTCCTCCTCTAAAGAGTGTACAGACCCCAGCACACGTGCCGCTGTATGTATGATGCTCCCAAAACGGGGACAGCAAACTCATATGGTCAGCTAAGTCAGCAGAGCTGGACCCCTTTCCTACTGGGACAGTGGAAAACTCCAAAAGAGCAGAAAGCCCAGAAAAGAAAAATGATCAAAAGCTGCGGCTCAGTAATGTGGAGAGCTGGAAAGAAGAAAATGGTCCATTGGCTGTTGTGCTGTGGAAGTGCAGTGGAAGAAGAGCTCCCGGCTGTGCGTGCAGGAGAAGATGCTCCCTGTCCCTAGCTGTCTCAACCTGTACAACTGTGCCACCCTGCTCATGTCAGACAGGATAGATGTGGCCACTGGTACAGCCGAGTGGCTTTCACGCTTTGCTGCTTATGACCAATGAATCACAGAACATTAGGAAATCTGAACCCAGCCATGCAGTTATTAGTAACAAATATCTAGATTTCAACACCTGCCATTTGCTACATCTTCACAGCTACACTGAAAAAAAAAAAAAAGTTTGAAAAGACAACACCCAAAGTTGTGTCAGAAGTTGCGCAACTTTATTTTGTCCTTCTCCCCAATGTGCTTTTGTAATTCTGTGACTCTGGGTGGGTAGAACAGGACAACCCATCTTTATGTGCTTCTTCACAGAGCTGCTACAAGGAGAACAGCATCTTCCCTATTTCCAAAGAGGAAAAGAGAAGAGGTAATAAGCTTAGACTGTAGCAAGGCGCATCTGTGCTAGACTTTAAGGAGAACTTGCTAAAGGTGAAGCTGGTGAAACACTACAACAGACTGCCTGAAAAAGTCTATCACGTGATGCGTTTAAGAACAGGACAGCTATTTATCTCATGGGAATAACATAAGTATAGTTGATCCTGGCTTGAGGTGAGCAAGAAAGGTCTCTGAGCTTCCCAGGGATCATTTAGCCTTTTGATTCCAGAATTCACTCTTATTTTCATTTGGTACTCTGGTATATCTACAGAGGAAAAGCACCTGTTCCCTAGCTGGCAGCATCTGTACCTCACCCCTGGGTAATTTGTTTATTATGAAGTATACAGACATTTAGGAAGTCAGATGAGGAATAAGAAATGGATCTTGTAAAACCATCCTTAGTGAAGGGTAAGAATAACATGAAAGAATGAGGTCCAGGGTCACAAAAGAAGCAGTCCAGGAAGGACAGAAATGTTGATTTTAGCATACCAAAGTCATAAAGAAAAACAATGTGATCATATAAAGACTGCATCATCATGGCTATGCAAAAGGAAACCAAACTAAATATGTTCTGGCACAAGTAGATTTCCTAAAATTTAAATGTTTGACTTTTACAACCTTAGTGTCTTTCTAAACATTGCCTGCTTGCATGTTTGTCTCATCTGCAGCTTCTGTTGGAGGAAAAGGAATGGGCAAGAAGTAAACACAACAAACCCCCTCCCTTTCCCCCTTGGCAACAGCAATGTGGTAACTGTAAGATCCATCACAGAACTCTGCCACTGACTTCTAGGATTTAAAACTAAAAAAGCAAAGAATCATTTGTGATCTGCTGTGGACAAGAGAGTAGTGGGCACCGTCAGTGGATTTTATTGGCATCAAATTGATGCTGGATCAGTAATTCTTGGGTTTTGCTCCAGGGCAGGGAGGGGAATATGGAAAGTGGCTGTGCCCTTCTGCCTTTAGTTTGCCTCTATACTGTCTTACCCATCACTGTCTTCACAGTCTCTTCATCTAACCAGTTCCGTCTCCGTGCCTCAAACTTTTCATTTTCATCCCCACTCCCTTGATTAGCAAGTCTTGTTATCACTGCTTTTGGACAGCTTGATCCCATCTCTTTAGCAAACCATTCTCAACCCTCCACCCCACCTGAGGTGCCTTCTTGCCCCAGTCCCAATCTGCAGTGCACTTTTTCCCCCCCGTATCTTTTCCTTTGAAAAGGGAGGAACCCACTGGGTCTTAGTCTTACTCTCTGTCCCCCAGCTTTTCGTCTACCTCAATCTTCATTCCCATTTAGTGGCTGCCATCCCACTTACCAAGCCAGCTGTATTTTCTCCATGCTCCTGCCCAGCTCCTGCTCCACTAGCAGAGCTGCCGCTTCTCCTCTGTGATCTGCTCAGCCAGCTTCCTCCGTTGCCTCCAGTGAAGGCAACGTGAGTGGTGAGTGGCACTGCAGGCTAACAGCTTCTCATACTCACTTCCAATGCTCAGACCCAAATCAAACATGGATCACTTAGACCAGAGCTATTATTGAAGGGACAGTGGAAAGTCCCGATTTGCCTCAGGTTATAGTTACACCAGGGCACACAGAAACTTCAGATAATGTCTTCCTACTGAACATGTTGCAATAGCCTATTTTATTTTAGTTTATGCTGGCTAAACTTGGCAGGAATGAAAGCATAGCATATCACTACCTAATGAGCATTCTCAAATCTGAAATGTATGCTCCAAAGTATAGCTGTATCACAATCTTGTAAAGAAAACAGATAAAATAATTTATTTTCCATTTCTTGCTCTCACCAACAACTAAGCTGTCTAATTAAAAAAAAAAAAAAAATCAAACTGATAGAGACATCCAGCATTGATAATTTCATTCACAGTAATTAGCATTTATCAAAATTATAACCAACCAAATTCAGAGTTCTACACCAGGAAATGGTAGACATTACAGTAATAACCGGCTCCACCTATAACAATATTTGCTTTAATGTCTAGTCCTTTTTTTTTTTTCCCTTCAGACTGTGCACACACAAACACAAAACCTGGAGACTTACTGTGATCTCACGTCAGTTTTAAGTGTGTGCATTTTCCTTCTCATTAAGCTGATTTTTCCTACTTTATACTGGCATGAGATCAAGAGTTCTACCTTTCTGTGTTGATTTACAGAAAAAACATCTTGTTTTAAAGGTGGATGGAATGGATCTTCACCAATCACAAGCAAATAATTGAATTGAGAATCACATAGCTAGAACTTTAACCAGCAAGCGTAAATGAACTATCCAGATCACACTCTTGGCCATTCTGCTTTAAAGAGTCATTACTAACATAAAAATTGAACTTACATCTTTTTGAATCTGAGAGCTGTAAAAAGTTTCTGTCTTTTCCATGTTAGCCACTCATCAACTACTAGCTGAAGTACTTGTTTTTCTAGATTATTTGCTTTACTGGATGTTTTGGGTCTGCAGATGCTGTAGAATTCCCGGTAGACATACTCAAGAGCTTTGGGGATCAAGCACACCAGACCAAGAGAAGGGTGAAACTCCAGTAAATAAATGTTCTTCAAAGTAGGTCTTAAAAACAAAGAAAGAATAAATAGCTCTCTAATAAGGCTTTTATAAATTGTATATATAAAGAAACCTTGCAATTGCTTAATTTGCAAAAATAAATTGCAATGGCTTTAGTGCACATCAGAAATCAATCATCAAATCTGAAAATAGAACTGAAGCCTTAATAAACGTAATTATGTTGGAACACATCTAAGTAGTCTCATTTGCTAATGAAAACAGAAAACATTTAAAATTCTCTTTCATTAGCTGACATGTTTTATTAATTGCATTTTCACGTCTATTATGCCCACCCATTAAAACTGTCTGACTTGAAAATAAGCCCTCAGATAACCAACACAAAATCAAAATATGTGTGTGGGAGGAATAGGGCCAAGAGGCTTGAGACAGAGGCAGGAAACCAGAAGGGAGCAGAGGCAAGGGACTCTTGGCCTTTGGGTGCGGATTACCTGCTGTGGAAACCCTTCGCATAACCCACAGCGCTGCACAGCTGCAGGATGGGGAACATGTGGCAGGTCTGTACTGCAGGTCGTGTTTCCACGTGTGAAAACAGAGTACACGCACATCCAACCGGAGAGTTGTGCGAGAAAGAGTAATAGACTGTGGCCAAAGGGCAGTGAAAGTTGTGAAGGCAGGTCAGGATACTGATGCAGCCAGTCTAAAGCGAGGCTAACCTCAGTACCCACTTTCATCATTACTGTTTAATGGTCTGTACCCATGGGAATATTAATGTCCCAGTGCACTGCAAGATGCAATTATCACATCCATTGTCATGAAAGGGCAGTGTAAAGCCAGTGGGGGAGGAATCACTTTTCTTCTTTGAACGTTTTTCTGGCTTTCTAAATAGCATGAGACTAAATAACATGAGACACTCATCTATTGCTTGATTCGCCTTAAGACTGTCATTTTTTCAAATACTCTTATTTTCAGGTGCTGGATCCCAAATTTTTACAATCAGTTACAAAAACTAGAACACAAAGAGGTACTCTCCAGAAAAATAAAAGTGTATAATTACTCACCAGCTAGCGTTAAGAGAGATAAGCTGCTTAGTAATTACATTATAAGGAAGTCCAAATTCACCGATGCCACCTCTCTGACCTTCCCGCCACATCTTGTGGATGTATTCCCTCTGGGCGTCTATCTAAAACTCAGCAATAAACACAAGTGACATTAGTCAATAAAATTCACACATAGCTAGAAATCAAGGCAAACACAACTATTCTTTATTTAATAAATTTTCAAGTCAATTATATATGTACCCACTCTAGATGAATTATTCCTGCTAAAATTATTTTGAAACTTTCATATTCTTTCAGAACAAAATCTGAGCTCCAACGATTCTGACAAGGCTCCATTTTTATTGCTAGCAATACGGTAGCGTTTGTGGCAACAGCAGAACAAGAGTAGCCTCTTGTATCAAAACCCAAACTTCCATTTGTGGACTAAAAGCCCAGTTACAAATGTTAGCTAATTAAACTTCCCAACTTGCAGCCTCTGAAATCAAAGCTTGGAGAAAGGAAATATCTTGTGGCAGGGCACAGAGAAAAGCTGAGGCAGATTTTTCAACCAGAGGAAAAATGTGACGATTTCAAATGTTGTGCTTTAATTATTAGCACAGGAATTCACAGTTATCTGAAATATACTGCTTTTCAAAGTGCACTTTAAAGTACAAGCTTTGTTTATATTATTTTTAAAGTCTCTTCTCTCTTACTATAAACAGGACTAGTTCCTTGTCCACTGCATCACAGAACAATTTTATAACAACTATAATTTTAACTTCCACGCCTCTCAACTACTATTTCTAGTTGTCTCAAACGGTAACAGATGTGGCTTTAACATGACATATGAAGTTCTGCAATCTTTCCAACATTTTCTTTCTGATACTGATGAAACGATAGCTTTCTGCTCTTGAGCTTCAGCCCTTCAATTTACTATGCATCCATAGAATTCATTGTTAAATTACTATTGACCAATTTTAACACTGCAAACCCATGCAGGCTATAATCAAAGCTGCTCATTCTGGATTTCATCTCCTACTTCCCCAGGATGGATATACTGTAAATTCAACCTACTTGTTGGTTTACTATGTCCCTCAGCAGTTGGAGGTGAAGTTGCAAACAGATGCATTCATCCTTGTAGGTGTTGACAAAATATTCAAGCTTGAGATCAAACCTTGGACGTTTATGCATGATGTCAGTTACTATTTGGGCCAAAGCAAATCTTTCCTCTGGGTCCAAAGCGTGTTGGTGAGCTTCAAAGTAAACACCTAGAAGCTGAAGAGATATTCAGAAGCACATTTAGAAACGTTTATTCACCCAAATATTCATTCTTGGTTGGGGAGAGATTTCTGAACACGGATTTTGCCACCTGTATCAAACCAACAGTGACCCGGTATGGCATCTTGTTTCTGGCACAGGATATTACTCAATGCTTCATCAGAAGGCTCAAGAACAGAACACAGAAAAAAACTGCACATATGAAAAATTTCTTCCAAATCTTGCATAGTTAACATGCTTTTTTTCTGCTTAAGTATGAAGATTTTTATTCTGCACATTTTTCCCTTCAAAAAGTAACAAGGCAATGTACTTACTACTTTAAAAACACCTACTTCTTTCCACTCAAATCCATTCTCTATTTCCTTTCCGGCACACACACTGGTTTAGTGTCTTTGAAAAACTCCATTTCCCCCAACCTGAAACCTGCAGACTCATACAAGACTCTCCATTATCTCATTTGGCAATGACTGTCACAGTTACTTTACATTTTTTGGAGAAATTCCAAATTAATTGAAGATGTAACTAAAGATGTACAAAGGTGCATGCCCTCTTCAGGCTCCTCTACCAAGAATAGCTGTAAAGTTTTATTTAAATAAAAATTTTAATTACAAATACCCACAGCTTAGGACATAAAAAGAAATGTGCCAAGCATTACAGCATGCGAACCCTCACGATGACATTGTAGTACTTTTGGGTCAGATGGCAATTAAGGGGTTGAAAATATGAACAGCCAGTGCTCTTGCTTCTGGACAAATTGGTCATGTCAATATGAAATTATCTACATGGGCTATTTTACATTGATACGAAAGTAGAAAAGCATCCACGTTACTTTCCATACCAATATGAGAACACTGTGGAAAAGGAAGATGCAGAAGGCCCTGAGAGGTAACTCGGTAGCTGAGAATTCAGATTTCAATGTAAACAGTCAAGTTTTCTGGCGTAGACCTGCCTGACTTGAACTGTTCTGGAGGAAGCTAAGACACTAGAATAGGCCATAAGGAAGTTTTATAGTGGCTAAGCTGTCTCAGCTGCTGGACAAAGGGTTATTGTTTCCTCATTCAGAAAGGACTCTGTCCCAGCTGGAAACAAAGCTAGCGAGACCCACTTCCATTTCATTTCATCTAAAAGCAAAAGACCTCCAGCAACAGCACATCTGTACATTTAATCCTGCCTAGAGAGCAGGGTTGTAAGAGCAGTTCCAGAATACACTCTTTGATCGTTTTGGAAGAGAATTAGTGTGTTGCTGCTGTAGAGGTTTCATTCTTCTCTACTGGGAGTTTTTCCTTCAAAAAGAAAGCAAGTCTCCTTGTACAAAAGGTCCATGATAAAAATAAAAGGTAGATTCACAGAGCTAGCATGATCATACAGCAATGGAAAGGAAAGTCTATTGGGATGAGAACAAAAACTTAGTGAACTAGGCAATTACACAGTATTTTATACAGCTCTGTAACACAAAGCCCCTCTATGAAAACGGGAGAGTAGCCTTAGGAGATTTCCTAAACTACATACAACTACTTCAGTTTAAAAGGTTTTCTATTTAAAGCCTTTTCAGTGGTACACAGGAGATTCCCTAACACCCTCTAGCATTCCTATTTTGAGAGCTGCCCTGGGTTACTCCAGGACTGAGAACAAAACTTTTCAACTGTGTGAAGGCAACCTCAATTAGTGCCATTTCTCCCTGCTTCTAAAGTGGACTACCTGCCCCTTTCCCCTTCCTGACACTCACAGCACTGTCCTTGGGACTGGTGAGTCCCACAGACAGAAATAGGCTTCCAAGCTCCTCTGGGTCCCTTCCTCTGAACTTGTCTACTCTTCATCTTTCACATCTTTGGGCAGAAACCCTGTATACTTTCAAGTCCCATGGCAAAATACAGACACATGACTGGACTCAGAGAGAGCAAGGGGAAAGCCTGCAGGATATGCAGTAGCCCTTGTGAATGGCAAAGCTACGAATCACTTAACGCACATTTTTAGCTTTAGTTTGTTTGTTGGTTTTTCTTAACTCCATACTAAATCATGGCATTTTTTTCTCAAATAGATTAACTAACAAACAAGAAATAAATTTATAATATATGTAGAATCATAACTATAGGTTTTATTAATAAATGGATTGGGTTTTATGCTGTAACATGCAAAATATCTCTCTGGTTCCCTCTGACAAAGGGTAATCCAAATGATGGGCCTAGCCAGCTGCAGACTGAGTCTCTCCTCCTTGGGCTTCACAAAGATGCAATGATTATAGTTCTAATGACAGCCATAAAAAGTTTCCTGCACCAGCCCCAGAAAGCAGGGACAGCCAGGACTACAGAAAAAAAATGCATCTTGGACTTCCTGGTGGCCCCGGCTCCTCAGGGCTGGACCTGATTCATCCTAGTCTGCATTTGCTCCATTCCCTGGCACACAAGGAGGGACACAACACACTCTGCAGTTTTGCTCAGGAGATGGCCTTGTCCTTCCCAACTATCCTTCCCAGTGGTGGGTGACTCTCCCTAAGGCCTTGCAGAAGTGCTTCCAGCCCCTGGCACAGCAGCTACAGAGGCTGTGTAGACTCTCTTGTTGCAAAACCCATTACATCTGGTCCTTTAGACCCGACTCACAGCACCCAGCAGCTCCAACCCTCTGTGCCCAGCCCAGCCCAGCACCAGGTTGCCAGTGCATCTGAAACCCGTACCACCACCCACGGCTGCTGGCTCTGGCTTCCATGTGTATACACAACAAGACATACTGTTGAAAGGGAACCTTACACAACCTGAAGTGAACGGATTGTAAATCACTGTTTTCAGAGCAAGAAAAGCTTCTGTACCTGGCATTTTTTTTCCAAGAGAGCAGTTTCACAGGTCCAGAGGTCAAGCAGCACAGCACATTGATCCACAGAGGCATGTGCCCAGCCAAGGATGTTGCTGCCACTGAATTGCTCACAAGTTACATTGCCTAAGACAAAAAAATTAAGTAGAAAACAAGCAGATGCCGGCATCAGAGGGATTTCCACATGCCTAGAGTCCCAGGGCTTGTCATAATTCTTTTTATTTATAGCACAGGGTTGTGGTTTTTGCTTGGCAGGGAAACCTAGGCCAGGAAAAGATTTCAAGTCCCATAAGCTTTGGAGGGCCCCAGAGTATTCTGCAAGGCAAAAAACAAGCGCAGCAGGTATTGGGTTTAAAAATATCTCTTCCATCATCTTTTTAACAAATATTCCTTGAGATAAAGGGCAATGGCTGGAGTTCAAAAGACCCACATCAAGGGATAAAGCCAGAGAAAGCACAAGAAAACTAAGGGAGGAAAGTGAAGAGAAGCTTAATTTTTCACAGCACCAAATCATGTTGGGATCGTCTTCACCTCCTCACCTTCACTCTCAGATCAAAGAAACGCGGCACGAACTACTCAAAGATAAATTTTACAAAGAGATATAGCAGGGCAGAGTGCACACCCAGGGGAGGGCTTTCTTTTCAGATGGCTTGCTATTAGAAAAGTCAGTCTTCATAATTTAAAAATGACTGTGAAGGAAGGAAAAAAATCAGTACAAATGTTTCTACAGCAGCAGCCCATGAGAAATCGTTGAAGAAATCATGCTTTTGGTTTCTTGGTTGTGATACAATCTAAATTAGAGCTAATTTTGACGATAAATGATAAATCGAGTAGAGTGAATCTGAAATGTTTAGAGCTGCAGAGTTAAAAATCAGCCATGGAGTAAATAGAAGAGGCTTCAGCAGCTACTCCTCAGGTCCAGACTTTAAGTGTCTTATTTTTCAAAAGCTGAACAAGAGCGTCATTTGAAGTCCATGATCATTGAAGAAGTCAGCATTAAAAGTGTTTATGTCCATGGCACACAGAAAGAGACCATAATAAGAAGGAGCATAAGGAGCTAGAACAGGTTCTACATGACCAGTCCTCAGGTGTACTGTGTGATGGTGATAATGAACTGACATGTAAACACAGGAACTGCTACACCAGCCAGAGTACCCTACCTCATTCAGTAGTCTGCCTCCTGTCATGATAGAATCACAGAATGGTTGAGGTTGGAAGGGACCTCTGGAGGTCACCCAGCCCAACCCTCTGCTCCCAAACAGGGTCACCTAGGGTGGGTTGCCCAGGGCTGTCCAGTCAGGTTTTGAATATCTCCACAGATGAAGACTCCACAACCTCTGTGGGCAACCTGTGCCAGCGTTTGACCACCCTCACAGTAAAAATGTGTTTTTTTCTGTTCAGATGGAATTTCATGTGTTTCAGTTTGTGCCCATTGCCTCTGGTCCTGTCAGTGGGGACTGCTGAGGAGTCCGGCTCCCCCTTCTTCATTCTCTCACACCAGGTATTTATACACACTGATTAGATCCCTCCTGAGCCTTCTCCAGGCAGAACAGTCTCAGCTCTCTCAGCCTCTCCTCGTATGAAAGATGCTCCAGAAAAAGGTCTGCAATGAGGACCTTTAGGTGATTTCAAAGCAGCCCCTAGCAGGCATTTAGGCATTCACAGGTTTGTAAAGGTTTTTCGTCATCTTAATCCTCAGCTCTGCCCTGCATTCTCTGTCAGAACATTCAATTTTAGGGACACATATTAAAACATCAGACCATTATCCTATCAATACAGAACGTAATTCCAGTGATTTAAGAGGTATTTTGTGCATTTCTCTGAATATCATAGGTCTTTGTGGCATTTATTCACTATTTTCTAATGGCCCTCCCCCCATACTTTCTACAATTACAAGCTTCTTCCTCCTCACTGTTCTAGAAGTACAGCTGCTCTTTTTAGAAATCTGTAGTACAGTCTGCCTCAACTCAGCTCTTATTCTAAAAAAAAAAAAAAAAAAAGGCAGGAGGAAAAAAGGAAGTCAAATATTTTGCAGCTTCTTATTTACAACTGAGAAGAGTTTAGAAGTGGTGGGAGGTAAATTTAGTTCTGCAGAAAAGCAATCCAATACATTAATTAAAAGACATTCAGAAACAATTAACATTTTTCTTTTCTGACTCTCTCTCTGTGCCTTGAAGATGTGCTTGCTCATTATATTACTTAACTACATCAGTAAATGTCCCTTCTATGTTATTTTTCCCTCCAGGATGACTTTGATGTCTATGACCCTGAATAAGTGCAAAACTGTGATATTAACAACATCTGACAAGCAACTCCACGTGCTCAGTAAGGTCTTTGTAACATACTCATCACTTAGCTAACTAGGAGGATAAAGAAAGATCCCAAAATTCCAGTCAGCACTTGGTCTTGCAGAAGTACAGCAACACTCAAGACATCATAGGATCAGCCTACCTTGAAAACAGCAAACCAAATTACCACAGGTCTTTTGGACCTGTAGATATCTTACTTTTATCTTTCTCAATGTACTGGCTGGCCACAAGCAGCATCTGGTTCTCAAACTCTTTCAGGCCCTCTAAAGCCACATCATATATTATGGAAACCCCTCGCTGGTCCTGTGTGTGAATATATCCATCTTTGCTAGCGTGAAAGTCATCATGGTTTTCCACCTCTGCAAATTCCATGAACTGAGTGCTGTGGACCTATGCCATGAAAAAGAGAGACAGAGAAACAAGCAGTCAGCTCTGCAAGGATTGCAATTCTGTATAATCAACATACCTAAGGGTGCACCTGGCCTAGGGACATGGTATTTTGTCACTAGCAAAGAGCAATAAAATAAAATATTGCCAAAGTATTATTTTTCACAGGTAACACCTACACTGTGGCTTCATTTATACTATCATGGAATAAGACAAGCTGCACGAAATTTCTGTCGTGCCTAGTTTTTCCTTCAGGCATATAAATCCACAAAAAGCACCAAGAAGGCATCAAAACGAGAAGATTAGCACTTGAACTAAGGTATGATTTTTTTCCCTTTTTCTAATTTAGCTCAGACTTGGCAAAAAGTGTCTGAAATTCTGATATTCGAATATGAAGTCAACATTTTTTAAAGCCTTCTTGGGTAAGTTACGCTTGCAAGATTTGGAGATAAGCTCACACACACAAAGACTTTAGCACTAATTAAAAGGAACGCCCATTGACTGATGTCCCAAATTGCTGTGACATCAGCACTTGTTCAACAGAACAGTTTAACAATGACCTTACTTTTCTAAAAAAACATCAACGTCTTTAAAAGAGAATCATCTACCTTGGCAGTGAGTCACTAGTTAGCTTGGTAACACCCCAGGCAAGAATCCAGTACTGCAGTCAGCAGAAGTGGCGTTTGCTTTCAAAATATTCTGTTTCTTGACTAGGAGAGCCACAAAGGGAATTACATACATCTGTCTCTAGGTGTATAATTAGAGAAGTTAATCTCCCAGTGTAAATAAACACTTGGTATAGGGGTATAGCCATAGAAACCTTTAAAAGTGGTTCTTGTAAGAAGCTAGCAAGCAAATGCAAGCTCCTCGTTTTCTACTGCTTGTTTTTACTGTTTCCTGGAATGTAATGCACCTTTGTTCTCACTTCAGTGCCAAATAATGATGCACAGTGTATTGGGACTTCCTACTTTCACCGGCTCTCCTAACATCTTCCTTTACAAGATCCCCAATGCTACCCAAACTTTACCTGCTAGCACCTGGATGTCTCTCATTCTATTAAAAGAAAGGATGGAGGAAAGGAAAAAGTATTCGCTTTAGTCATGGAAATCTTAGTCAAATTTAAACGCACTGGGAAGAACAGCTTGCCAGCTTCACAGATCTGTGCTGGATCAGAATTCATTCTTTACCACAAAGTTAATGAGGCAGCCCTGCAAAATATACGCCTAATTTGAACATAACGGTGGATCAGCCTGGTCAGATTCCTCTCCTTTTTCTGACACGGTGTTCTGCACTCTCTGTTCTTTCCTTATTCTTCTGAACAGACTATTTGTTTCACCGTTCTTAGTGATGAGGTACAGAATTTGCTAAAGGTTAAATCAAAGCCCTTTATAGAAGAATTAAATTCAACTTGATTTAGATAAATAACGGAGCAAATACTGGGCTGACTTCACCATAGCAGGTAGTAGGGGCTTTTAGTTGTTTCTAAACATCCTTATGGAGAACATTCATTGAAATATCTCCACTTCCTTGATTTTTTTCCTGTGATTTCTGCTCTGTCCCACTCCTAAAAATCTCAGTCAAGACTACTGCGTTCTGCAGAAGGGGCATGTGACTACAAAATTGAAGAGTTCTTACAAAACAAAACCAAAATGAAATGAAGACTTTCTCCCTGTCCTGTTTGGTTTGGGAGTCATATTTTAAAGAGACTACCCAAGCCTTCTAAATACTACTTATGCCTATAAAAAACATTAATACCCAGTTATATGTCTATAGCAACAAATCAAGTAACCGGATATTTATGTGCGGTGTTTTTTGCCTGCAGATTTTGGCTTTCCTCCTCTAGCTCTGGGGCTTAACAAATCCCTTTTGGGTTATAAAGCAACACTTATGCACCTACATATATTTTATCTACTTTCTTCCAAGCTGAATCTCAACAGGGGACAGAAAAGAGTTTTAATTTAATGTAATGCATTGTTTTGCAGGGCCTTCTGTCATTGAAACTCATGCCTCTGATGCTCTCCATCCCAAGCAGTCTGCTAGGGAGGGTGCAATACTGTCTCAGAATCTCGGTTTCAGATAGCTCACAGCTTACAATGTGGAGGGATTCATAACACAGGTCTGCCTCCAATTTTTGGGCATAGATTAGATGCTAGAAGTATTTTAGAAACAATGTGATATGCTTTGGGTTTATAGCACATGGCAGAGAGTATGTTAGATAGGTCTAAATTAGTTTGCCAGTAAAATGGTTCTACTATTGTTTCCGTTCTTGAGAGACAGTCTGTGCAGTACATTAAAAAAAAACCCAAAACAAAACAACAACAACAACAAAAACACATCAGAAACTGTTGTTAAGGAAATACTGTTGCCCCTGCTTCTAAATTTGTTGCTAATTAAACTGTGATAGGATTAGTAAATATTTATCTAAGCTTTAGTCGAAGTTCAAGCATATATATCCGTATCATATGTATTAGTTTAGGGGAAAGAGAAGCTGCTGTGAAATAATGTCTCTCTCATTGCTAGGAGCTCTCTGAAGTATTTCACAGCTAATCTCCAGATCAGAGAGTGCTTAGATGGAAGGTCAGGACTGATCTTTGCATCGTTTCTTCTATGACAGAAAAAAAGGGAATGAAAATAAATTTATATTATGCAGAGTTCAGAAGGAGCGTTTGTCACAACGCCTGCTTCCTGGAAAACTGACACCTCCCATTGCAAAACACAAGTTTTTAAATTACTTTTTCTGACTTGAAAATTGGAAGATACTAGACCACCCAGTTCAACATTTCTTAAGTGGAAAATCACAGTTTTCTAGTTCTAAGTAGCTTTTCATTTAGGAATTTTAATTTATTAGATTTTTAAAGGATAAATGTGGCCATATTAGAAATAAAACTAAAGATACCTTAAAAATATCATCAACTCTATGTCCTCCCCACACACTTTATTTTCAAAGAGGTTTAGATTTTTTTATGTTTAGGGACATGAAGGTTTTTTTCTGGTTTGGTTTTTTTTTTTTGGAGGGGGGAGGGTTGACATAAGCAATAAATGGGGACAGGAAGCCTACTTCTTTTTTGGTTCTAGCCACAATTCTTCCATGAAGTGGCTTGTGGGTTTGATTCTGTGTGTTTCTACAGCAAAAAACAAACAAACAAGTTTTCAGTAAATGAGAAATAAATGTGAGCTCACAATGTTGAAAAAACTCCTATTAAAATGTTATTGTGCTTCTTTAGGCTTTCTACATGAGAACTTTGGGATGAGTGTTAGGTAGCAGAGCTGCAAGGAAATTCTACAGCTCGAAAGACAAAATACTATATCACATCTAACTACTAACATCAGCATGATATATTGATTCTATTCAGTGTATTTTACAGAAGCATTGGGGAAACCAAAGTTTGATAAGCCTTAGGAATTTAATTCAAATTATTATTTTTCCCATCTGTGAAGCTAAGCGTACTAATTATATCACTTCAGCCACATGCCCTCATTCAAGGTTAAAAACATTAAGTCCTAAACTCTACCTAGATCTAAATAATACATTTTAGAAGTCATTAGGAGTTACTTAAACAAGCATATCCATAAATTGCAAAATGTCTCATATTTGTCAGGAACATCTACTCTGTGTGATAAACCCAGACTTACAAAGGTCCTAGTTTAAGCACAGCCAGCAGCACTGGTCTAAGTAAATGTTTATCTGGCAGGCAGTATTGACATGATACTTCTATGTGCCTGAAGTTTTTCAGAGGTTTGCTACAGACTGCTGGTAGATACAGGTATTTAGTCTGTTAAGGTGAGACATGTGATTCTGAATCCCTCAGACGATTCAGCAATTGATCGCAACATAGCTTGCATGGAAGAGAGAACTGGATTAGGCACTCCTGTTGAAGCACGCATTTTGGAAGACTAAAGGCTGGGTGGTAGCTCACCTTGTAGTCAGCTGGCGTGTAGTGAATATACGGCTGTGAACTCAGGCCGCCAAAGCCACCAGTGCCTCCTCTGGCAGCACTGACCCAGGAGGTGTCTTCTGCACTGGGAATTAGGCAACCAGCCTTGAAGGAGAGGCCAGCAGTACTGATGGTCAGGCTTCTCTCCACGGACCTGAAGTAGTTAAAGATTCCCAGGCACACTTGCTGAAACAAACTGGAGCAAACACACAGTTGCATTTTCAATTCGGTGACAGCACCCCTCTTAAAAAAATTAACTCTGATCTCTGCAGATTTTATGTTGAATTTTTTTACCTTTAGCTCCCGGAGCCTCAGGTGACGTAAGAAAAGAAGGGACGAGTAGGCTCCTCTCCTCACCACGTGCTCCCTGTGGGCAGTCGCAGTGCCCTCTTCTAATCCTAGCAGCAAGCTGCCCATATAACTATACTTTTTTCCAGACAGGAAAAGTGTAATTATATTTTTTGCTACTCAAGGAGATTTCTAAACCTTTCTAAAAGACAGTTTTGCTATGTCTGTTGTCTAAGAGAAGGCTGCTGCTGCCTACAGGACTGACTGTCATGGAAACCTGCGGTATGGAATGGCACTATTGCTTCTGTCAGAGAAACAGCAGGTTGATATCATTTTTCTTCCTTTTTTCAGGTTTTATTAAATATATACATACATATATATATACACATATCAACAAAAAATTTTTTACCCTCTTTCATTCTTCTTTCTGAAGGATGCCGGACTCTTACCGGAGCTGACATTTCCTACATCGTCCCCACTGTGAGCTGCAGCTGTGTTATTATCATCCTTGGTAGTTAGTTCCTAGTTCCAACACACATGGTTAAAAATTGGTGTGGTAAGTATGCATATGATTCTTATTTGACAGCTTTATGCATAGGCTTTATCATAACAAAAGGAAAAGAAAAGAAAGGAAGTGCCATACTGGATGAAATTCATAATCCAGCCAGCAGTGAAATTATCATGGCATATAACTCCACAATATTTTATTGCTTTCCAGTCCTTAGTGTTTTATCCTTATGAAGTCCCTGGGCTGTCTGAAAGAGCTATCCCCTTTCCAAAGACAAGATTGCAGCAAGGGACAGATGGAGGAACTTTTCCAAAGAAATTCAGAACATGTTTTATCAAAACCTCGACCCAGCTATGGCTAGTGACATTTCTGACCTCCTAGTCCATCCTTTTTCCTCCTGTCATAAAAGAAAAAAATGATTTCTGGGCTCCAGCAGATCATAGGCTGAGCATGGGGCAAAATCATAGCAACATGGCAACAAAGAAGTAACATCAGACTAGGCTGTAGAGAAGTTTTACTGTGATGTATACACAACACGCCCAAAACAAGCATATATTAAAATATATTAAATGCTCTAGCTAACGTTCTGTAAAATTAAATTCAGTACTTGGGTTTTTCTCTCACTCCTTTCCAGCACACTCAAGAATGTGCTACAAAGAGTAGCAGAAGAGCAGCAAGCAGGAAAACAGCTATGCCTGCCTTGTTATCAACTCCACCAAGGCCTTCTCACATGCTTCAGGAGTTACTCCACTAACATCAGTGAAATTAGACTGGCATTACTACCAGTGTAAATGAGAAGATCACTGTGAGTCACACAGTATTTATTAATTGTGGAGCATTATGGACAGTGATTTACTAGGCACTATCCAATTACTTTCCTCAGACTTACTTATATATCAAGTATATAAGAAAAATTTGTCCTCTTAACCCACTTCTCTGTCCCAATTTATTTTACCAATTTATTTGAACTTAGATGGCATAAGTTGGAATTCTTTTCAGTGTGTTAAGAGTTTTATAGCATTGATTTTGGCATTGTTTTTTCTGATTAGAGAAAATCCCATTAATGTCTCTCCACAAACTGGTGCTTGTCAAATTTATCCTGCTCAACATGAGACATCCTAACAAAGATACTCACAGAAGTGACACAGGTAAACTCAGGACTACGTTGTCTGTTCTATGAATTTGCAAGTTGACATGAATATTTTGTCTCCAAAAATTCCTTCAAGCCAAACAAATCTTGATGTCAAACTGTCAAACAACGGATTCTTTACATAATCTTCGCAATGATAGATTATCTGTTAACTGATTTCTCTATCCTTACTAAGCATGATCATCCTCACTCATCCTGTCCTCATTGACTCCAAAGGTCTAATTTCTTAAACTTTAGAAAAACTAGGTCCTTCAGTCACTATTACTTAAAATAATGTAAGGTCAAATAGAATTAAAGTATATTTTCCTGAACCAACAGCATTAATTGTACATATCTATTAAGTGTCATAATAAGTATATGGACTAAGCATGGGATGAAGCATTTACACTTAAATTTTCCACTTTAAAAAGATACAGACAATGCTGTCTGAAAAATGCCAGTAAAATGAGGAAAAAAGGGTAGCAGCTGAATTTTTATTTTAAAAACACTGAGACGTGGACAGCACTTTTTTGTGAAGGATCTAATTGTAGCTTTGCTATACCATCATGACTAGACTGTTTCAAAATTAGGTTTTTAATTAACCTAATGCTGCTGAGATCAGTCATGTGCCTTGCATCGCCCCCAA